CCCTCACTGTACAAGGCCAGAGCGGCTGGAGGGACGGGGTGCAGGAGTGCGTGGGTGTGTACGGGGGAGGCAACAGACACCCCCCTCTGCCCCTTCTTCAGGGAAAGACCCCAAAACACCTCCCTCAGCCAGGGTGGGCAGGGGGCAGCTGAGGTGGGGCAGGCTCCACCAGCCCTACAAAAGACTCCCCCGTAGCCCAGTGGAGGGTGGCACTCAGTGTCCGTCCCACACCAAGCCACCCTGAAGATGTTCCCTCCTGCTCAGATGGTGGGGACAGCAGCAGGCTGCCTCCAGCAAGAGGACGCGGCTCCATCAGGCTCTTCTTGCGTGCGGCTTGTGCTGAAGGAAGTGGTGGTGGTGGAAGGGGTGTTCTCCAGGCTCCCGGAGGCTGTGTGTCCTTCCAGTCGCAGCTGAGCTTTCCGGTCAGCAACAAGCATGGCAAACGTGTTTTCGGGGCCCTGGGTCCAGCTCCTGCCCGAGTGGCAGCTGCCGCCCTGTAGCGCTGAGCTCTGCCCTACAGAGAGTGGCCACAGCTCATCATGAAGTCTGCCCAGCCTTTTTCTTCAGGCACTGCTGACTTACTCCCCACCGCCCCTCAGAGACTCTCCACCCCTGCACTCAATCCTTTCTCTCTCTGGTCCCTTTCTCCGTTTACCATTCCATTCTTTCCAGTGCAGCCATCTCTTCCCTGGTCTTTCAAGCCTGTCCCTCTTCTCCACCCTCTCCATCTCCCTCTACCTGTCCCCTCCTTGCCTCCCCATTCCTTGGTCCCACCACACCTTCCTCACCCCTGCTGTGTCTGCCTCTCCTCTCTCTTCCTCGGCTCCTTTTCCCCCTTCCCTCCTGCATCTCCCCCTCCTTTCCCCAAGCCTGCCTGGCAGACTCCTCCAGGAAGGCAGGCTGATTAGCATTGCAAACACACAGAGGCCTCCTCAGCCCGACATAAATCTTCATTTGTCAGTCATGAATATTTCACACCTGCCTCGGGAGGGATTTATTCAGCATGGAAGAGTGGGGAGGAGGAAGAGGGGAATGTGGCACCACAGCATAAGCTGGGGCAGCACAGGCTTTGCCCCACTGGAACAGCACCTCTAGGGTCTCACCTTTGCTATTCTGGGTTCAGGAACCCAGCCCAGTCTCCTTCTCGAGCCTGTTCCTGGGGGAAGAGGGCAAGTCAGCACCCAACCTCATTCCTCACCCTCCACGCTGTCCAGTGAGGTGAACCAAACCCTTGTTTTCCCTGCCAAGGGGCACCAACCCAGAAATAAAGTATGAAGGGGCAGGTCCTGGTTCTGCCCCATGGATTCACTTTGCCCTGGGAGAAGGCAGAGGTGAAGGACTCTTGCCAAAGGGCTAAGAGCCCATAGAGGGCTTAGAAACTTCAGGCAGTGTCTCCATGCTTTTTCCCACCACAGAGGCTTTAAGGGTTTCATCATGCCCTGCCCTCTGCCAAGGCCACCCTTGGGAGAGGAGGGGTAGGACAGACCTAATCTAGAGCTCCCTGCAATCAATGAGATGGTGGGCGGTCTTCTAGTGATTGCAACCAGCTCCACATCAAGCTTTCACTGTATCAGAGGTTTCCCTGCAGCTGAAGCACTCCTTGTTCTTCCCCCAAGAATACCCTTGCTTGTGGATTTGAGGAAAGACCAACCAGGGCATGGGGATGGTAGTGACCATTTCTCCTCTGATGTCTATCTTGATGGGCCTCCCTCCTGTTTCTAAACAATTTGGAGAAATGACGACCACTAGAAAGAGCAGGCCTTTGGTATATAACGCATCCCCCTTCACGCACACAATCCTGAAAAGCAGCTGAGACCACATTTGGGGCAAGGGGAGGGGGACACTGGAAAGAAGAAGGAATGTTTTTTATGGGGCTGTTCGGGTTGGGTTCTCTTTGGGGTGTGTTCCCTGCCAAACTGGTAGGAGTCTGTCATAAAATCACATCAGGGATGAATGAAAGGAGCAGGGAAAACAGGGACAAGTATGGGAGAGACTTTGGGGGAGAAGGTTAAATTCCAACAAACTGGCACATACACAACAGGTGTTTGCTCAGAAAAATACAGTAAAATCGTCATGCAAATAGAACGTTAAATCTGCTTTCCTCCAACAGGGCTGGCATCACTTTGTGAGCCCTCATCCCTGGGGAGGGAGCAGGACAAGGAAGAAGGGAGGAGGAAGGAAGGTGGGACACTTTGTTCCCCTTCCTTGCCCTCTTCCTCCCACAGAACAGTCCATCTTGTGCAAACTTCACCCACTGGTTTGGAGTGGGGGGCTACAGTTGGGAGAGAAATGGCTTGTCCCTCTTACCCAGCCTTACCCCCACCACAGGCAAAAGAAGGGCCTGATGATAGCTGTATCCCTGACCTTTCTTTTCTGCCTTGTTGGGGTGATGGGGGGAGGGAGCAGAAACCATTACAGGCTAATGCTTCCCCCAAAAGTATAGACTGAGCGGAACTGATTACAAGACCATACAGCAGAGAAGCACAGGGAGGGAAGAGGTGGGGAGAGGAACAGGACTCCATCCCCCCGTGCCTGTCATCCCCCTTCTCCTGTCCAGTTCTGTGCCCCAGCCATTAGTCTTTCCTTCTTGGATGGTTGCCACGCTGGAGGACCGCTGGGCCTTCTCCATGTGGTAGCTGGAGTTGTCTCTCTGCTGTGCCTAAGGATCTCTCGCAGCATTTACCTGTCTTAATTTCCTGCATTGTCCCAACATGGAGGGACACCTGGCAGCAGAAATGTGACTTCCCTTCATCCTCCTGCACACACGCACACACAGACGTGTGCACACACATCCCCTCCTTTGGGTTGGACTGGGTCTTACAGTCTGGAGTCACTCCCAGGAATACCTCTGGACTCAAGGCAAAACAATGCCTAGACTGTGGGGAAGGAGACTGACAGTGAAGGAGGCTGAGGCAGTGGGACTGGGACCTGGCTTAGGATTGTTATCATCAGCATCCTTACAAGGAAGGAACCCCACAGATCTTCATAAGTTTAGACCTTGGGGATCCCCCCCCCTCCCTGGTTTTCACACACCAGGCTCTGCCTACTGCTGCTCCTTGCTTACAGAAGATGAAGTCATGTCACCTGTGGCATGAAAATGAGCTCTCACAGCTGGCTGTGCTACTACCTAACAGAAAACAGACAGGTTCTCTGCAGGCAGCATGTAAATCCCTCCCAGAGAAGCTCCCACACCCTCATTCTTCTCCCAGGGCCTCCAAAAATACTGGGGCTTCTAAGGACCACCTCAAAAAGGAAATAGCCAATTAGGAAAGGCCAACACAACACAGGCCCTCACCCTCATCCTGATAGAGGTGAATGATTGTCAAGACTTGGGGTGTACAGCTCATGAAGAGGAGGCCCACTGTGCTGCATAAAGATGCATTCAGCACTCAGCACCCCTGCCTGACAAGAAAACTTTGGGGCAGATGGTGACAAGATTGTGCTTTGTTGGGCTGCTCAGAAGTGGGACGATGTGGAGAGGGCAGTAGGCTCATTCCCAACTCTGTGGCAGATCTTCTATCCAAGGGACAGATGTTGGGACCTAGCAAGTGAAACCTTGTTTTTGCCAAGATGTTAAAGGATCCCTAAGAAAAGTTTGTCACAGCTAACTGTGAGGAGGTGGAGGATTTAGGTGATAGATTGCTCTGATTCTCATGAAGGCCTCTAAGTATTCAAAGGAGCACTGCCATCCAGCTGGCATCTTCTATCCCAGCACACACAGTGTGGTTGCACATACAAAAGGAGCTTCTCCTAGAGTCATCCCTCTTGGGGTACTCCCAGGCCCCATTCTCACATCCCTTTTGTTTCCTGTGCTTCGGCCTTCACTCTAGGCTGTCTCCTATCCACACCAGAGTGTCCATGGCCTATGCAAGAGGAAGCCACTTAGTGGCTTTTCTGTCAACTCAGTGAGGTGAGCAACCGAAATCCTATTCTTCACATCCACCTGCAAGTAAGAAGGATGGGTGATGCTCCTCTCATGCACACCCACCCTACACTCCACGGTGCAAGTCAGTTCAGAAGAGCTTCAGAAGCTTCATGTAGAACTTGTTCCGCTCAGCTCCTGTCCAGGTCCCTTCCTCATAGTAAAGGAGGTATGAACAGAGAATACCAAACCCACTGCACAAGGGCAGCCTGAGCATAGACGTGTATGGTGAGGAGGACCTCTGATCTGTGACATTTGTGGAGAGATGGAAACACTTTACACCTCTGAGAGACAGCCTTTTCTTCCATCCCTCCTTGAGGACGTGGCTTGCCATGCCAAAGACCACATTCATACACCCCCACCAACTGACTGAAAACTGGCTTTGAGCAGGCCTGGAGAATGCCTGTCACTCCAGAGCTGCTGGTGTTCATCAGCAACAACATGACAGGAGAAGAGAAGGAGCAAGAGCAGCAAGGGCACAGAGCCTGTTGTGGGGCAGGCCCTACCTCCCTTAGTCCTTTGCACCTCCTCTCCTTCCTCTGAGGAGGATGGAGGCTCGTGAAGTACCTAGACAGAAAGTGCAAGCCTAGGGAGCCCTAACATGGAAGGGTAGGGAAGAGAAAAAAGAAAAGGAAAAGATGTGAGAGAACTTCTTCCAACAAATCTCACATAGTTTGGAAGGGGACAGGAAAGAGAGAAAAGCCTCCACTGCCAACGGAAATGGGGGGAAAAAAACGTGATGGAAGATTTGGAAAAGTAGGTGTATCAGGTGGGCAGAGAACCTTTCTAAACCAAAGTCCTCCCCTTTCACCCAAAAGAAAAATCATCCCTCAACAAGAACAGAAAGAGCAATAGTTCACAGCTGAGTTTCATGCCCAGGTGAGTGTCCATCCCTGCCCTTCCCCTGCCACCGCTACCACCCCCACCCAGGCCATTCCCACCCACCCACACTCCAGTGTTGTTACCACAGTGTCAGAGCAGGACACTCCTCCCAACCATCTGCAGGCAGAACAATGGTCCCCATAACACAGTAGAGACAATTCGGCGTGTGTGTGTCTGTGTGTCTGTGTGTGTGAGTTTTCTGTTGTTGTAAACTTTAAGAAACAATTTTTGTCAGTTTTGTATTTGTTGGGAGTATTTTGTTGTTGGTTTATTTCTCACAGTCAAGTGGCTTTTTTTTTTTCTGGTTGTTGGGGGGGGGTCTTGTTTTGTATTGTTTCCTTGGAAAGAGTGAGGCAGAGTCACAGCTTCTGCTGAGCAGAGACTCCTTTCCAGTAATCCAGGATGTCATGCAGATCCTCATCCTTGGCAAACTGAACTTTCTTCCGCAGGGCATGCCCAGCCGCCATGTAAACCTCCTCCCTGTGGTGCTTCTTGTAAGGCCGGAATCGCTCCCAGATCTTGTGGGTGCTCTCTGATGAGTACTCAGGGCTGGAGGAGTAGCCTGAGAAGTAGTGTCTGGGGGAGAGCTGGGAGTACGTGGAGTCTCGCTTGGACCGGGAGAGTGGCTTGAGGAATGACACCCGCTGGCTTAAGGTGTCAGCACTTTCCTCATAGTACAGGGCTGGGAAGGAGTGACGGTGCTCACTGCAATGGTAAGAAGGCTTGACCTCCAAGTGGTGGATGGCGCCCGGGGACACCAAGGGAAGACGATCCAAAGGGCTGTTGAGTGGGCTGCCCTTCTCAATGTATTTGGAGTCAGACTTGCTGAGTGGTGGGTGGTCAGGCACATCCAAGCTGAAGACCTTGGCGCTCTTGATGGAGCCGCTAGAAGAGACGCTGCAGGTCTTCCTGGCCACGGCAGCATCAGCACTGAGCTGGCGCTGCAAAGGGTGGTGGGAGCTTTCCTTGTAGGGTGGGGAAAGAAAGCTGGGCCGCTCTAGCCCACCCGAGGAACTGGCTGGGATGGACTGGCACTCAAAGGCCATGTCTGAGTCAACACCAGTTCCACCACCCAGGAAGGAGGCTGTGTCCAGCTTGAGGGCATCAATGCAGTTGTTGATGATCTGGTTGACCTTGTCTACCTCCTTGGCTATAGTAGAGATCTCAGCAGCTGAGCCTTGCCCATTGTCAAGCTCCCTCAGGTCCTCATCCCGCTGGGCTCGTTCCAGCCCATCCCCACCACCAGTCCGCACCTCAATGTAGTTACCTTTAGTGGTGACTTTAGGAGTCTCCATCCCAGTCTCCATTGACTTTGATGGGGGCAACTTTTCCCCAATCATGGAAGGGATGGAGGACATTCGTGTGACAGGGATGACTGGTGGCTCGCCCAGCTTCTGGGAAGGATGGACCATGGTACTGGTATCAATATCTGATCCATAACGCATTTCCAGAATGGTCTTTTTGACATTGAGGGACTTCTGTTTCTCCTCCTGCATCCTCCGCTTCCGCAGGCAGTAGTACACCACCCCCAGGACAATGACCATCCCAAAGAGGCAACCCAGAGTGGTCATGATATAGTGTGTGGTGGTGGAAGTACTGGAAATAGGGTCCTCCCTGCCTTTGCTCCGGGTTGCAAAGGTCAGGCAAGTGTGGTTGTAGCGCCTGTTGTTGCGAATGGAGGCCACACAGAAAGTATAATCAGTGTGGGCTTTCAACTTGTTGACAGTGACATATTCCTTCTTGCTCTTCAGTGTTGCTATGTCAGAAACGTAGCTGTTGTTGTATTGGACCAGCACATACATCTTACTGTAGGGCATGGGGATGGTTACCATCAGGATGGCTGAGGTGATGGTGACATCATGGAGCTTGATGCTGGGACTGAAGGACGAGTCAGTAGTGGAAGAAGCTGGAGGCTTGACTGAGAGGAAGTCCCCAGGGCTGATGGCTGAGCCCTCATCCAGATCTCGCTGGGAGTCAGGGGTATAAGGGGTGGGGTTGACCCTGGAGAGGGAGGGGATGGTGCCACCTCTGCACATGGACTGGAAGATGGTGATGGCATTGCGGTTGTGGTGAGGCCGAGGTACCAGGAGTGGGTACCCAGCGAACTCCCGAGGAGTCTCGCACTGGAGCCGGTCATAGTTCTTGGTGACATTGTTGAAGAGTGCCAGCCAGTTAAGAAAGCTGTAGAGGCTACAGTCACAGTTGAAGGGGTTGCCAGCCAGCTCACACACCATCAGATTGCTCAAGCTGGTGAAAGTGTTCCCCTCCAGGCGGCTGAGACGGTTAGATGACAGGTCAATGCTAATCAAGCTGGGGCACTCAGAGAAGGCAGTAGGGGTGACCAGCTCAATTAGGTTGTGCTGCACAAAGAGGAACTGGAGGCGAGCCATGCCCCTCAACATGCCCTCTGTCAGGTTGGTGAGTTTGTTGTAGCCCAGCTGTAAGACCTGGAGGTTTGACTGGCCCATGAAAGCCCCATCCTCAATATAGGAGATCTCATTCTTGGTCAGGTTCAAATCGGTCAGGTTGCCGAAGCGGTTGAGGGAGGAGTACAGCACCACTTTGAGCTTATTCTCGTTCAGACGCAAGTCGTGCACCGTGCTGTTGATATGCTGGGGGATGGTCTCATACGGGGGCTGGTTCTGGCTACAGATGGCCAGCCACACATAACCTTTGTCCCCCTCGATCAGCCAGCAGTCACCTCGCACGGTGCCAGGGGAAAACAAGCAGAGCAGGGCAGCTGCCCACAACCCCAGGCACATCATGGTCTGCAGTGGTGCCCTCATCAGGATGAAAAAAAGCACAACAGAAAACAACCCCAAAATTGCAGGACCACAGCAAAAGGAAACTAAGGGGCAGAGGGAAGAGAAAGGGGCAGTAACTGGAGGTTTAGGAATGAAAGGGCATGAGCAGCCCAGTTCTATTAGGTGTCATCACCATTATTTCTTCTTGCCCTCTGGGTCAAACCAGGAGCATGGAGCATGAGGAACATGTGCAGTCTGCTTCCACCACACGCAAAGGTTATGACCACAGATGATTGGTCTGGAAGGGAACTACCTTGTGCTTCTTTTCTAAACAAAAAACCAGACTGAGAATAACGAATCTTCTTTGATGCTCCTGAGCGACTTTCCCACCTTTTCCACTTTTCTCCCTCCCTAACAAACCCAAGCCCTCCCCCCCCAGTCTCCCCCCACCCCTCCACGGTGTGATGTGGGAGAACAAGGCAGGGCTGCCTTCTCTGTGGCTCAGGCTGCCTCGGTTCCTCCTCCTTCTCTTCCTTCTCTCCCAGGTTCCCTCTGAGAAGCTTCAGAGCTTCAGATCAAACATGTCGAAAACAAAAATACAGAGAGGGAAGAGCAAGTGCGCACGAGAGAGATCCATCTGTCACTGGAATCTGGAAAAGAAAGCACACAGGAGACAAGAAGAGGCATCAGTTGGAGGAGGCCTTTGAGATAAGAGTAGAGACAGCAAGGTTTCATGAGAAGAGGGAGATGATGAGGAAGAGACAGCAGTGCGGGGGGGGGGGGGGGTGCGCGGTGGTGCAAGAAGGGAGGAGTGGGGCTGCTTGATAAGCCTTTGAGAAGGGAACCCTCACGACGTATAATCTCGTATCACAGGGGTATGCAGGGGTAGCCGGGCTCCCTTAGTTAATGTGATCACAGGCAGGGACCTGGGGCAAGGCAGTGGTGGGGCAACCGAAGGAGAAAGGGAGGGAGGGTGGGAAACAAAAGGCTGTTATTGCGGTCAGCTCATAACTCCTAGTGTAAACAAAGGCAAGCCCCAAGCACAGCCAAAACCACAGATATTCAGCTGCCTGAAAATGATGTACGCAGAATGCATGAAGTAGGGAAAATGCAGACAAGGGTCCCCTCCTGAAAAGAAAAGAAAAGAAAAACAAAAAAAACAACAACAAAAAATAACCAGCACTTTTTTTTGTTTGTTTCGTTACTTCCTTGATGCAAGAGGGATAAATAATTCAAGCCACGTGTAACTACTTGTGCTCTAAAAATTGTTCCTGTCTCTTGGTGCAGGGACAAGGCTGTTGAGGTGACCCAGCCTGGTTTGAGCATGCTGGGGGGGTTGACGGTCGGGAGGGCAGGGTGTAGGCAGTGTGTCAAATACCAGCCTCCAGCCTCTCACCCAGCAAAGCCAGCAGTCCTGAGCTGGAGCACACCACCCACCTACCCCCCACCAAAGAGAGGGGCTTCCACCTCCCTACTTTGCCACCTCTCCTTGGGGGCTATAAACACTGCTCCTCTGTGGGACAGGACACCCAGCAGGAACCAGCGGTAAAGTGATATTTGCTTCAATGTATTTCTGGACTTCTGGGCAAGCTCCTGGTTCTGACTAGGAAGGGCAGCCTGGAGCACCCTTCCCTCCGGCTGCAGCTTCAACCCTTCTTCCACTGTGCTGAGACAGGAGCCTGGCAGGGGTATCCTCAGGCAGCGCAGAGGAAATAATTTCATACAGCAGATAAAACATGTGGGCACTGTGCTCTCTCTTCTTTTTTTTTTTTAATTTTGAGGAGAAAGAAAACAATAAGAAACAGAGAAAAGGATTTTTAGTTAATGAAAAATAAAGATCCCCTCTTGCCCCTTTTATTTTGGGGGGAGGCTGCTCACTAAAGATATCGCCGAAGCTTTTGCTGCAAAAGCTGAACCAATTTCTAGCACAGAGACACAAAGGGCAGAAATAAAATGAAGGAAGATAAACGGAGGAGGAGTGAACCCTTGAGGAACAAGGCTTACGTCTGTGGAGAAATCTGAGCTGATTTGGGTCTGTGGAATTACCAGGCCAGCTGGATTAAAGGATCAGAGATAGTGTCACAGAGAAACACTTAAATATTCAATAATCCAAAAAGCAAAGCCAAGATGGAGAAGGGGAGGGGGAGAAGAGCTAGACCAATGGAAAAGACAGAGAGAAAGCCTCTGTTCCCCACAGCTCATCATCTGAGGCCACCAAACTCATGTCATTTATGGTTGTCATATGATGGCCTCCAGCTGCTGCCTCAGCTTTGCATCAGCCAGCACTGAAGCAGAAGGCAGAGGTTTTTACAGTCTGTTGCTTTGTTTCTCAGCCTTATAATCCAATAAGAAATAATTTCCTGACACTGTCTCCCCAGATGCATCAGATAGGAGGCACATCTGGCTGTCTACAGATTGGGACCCACAGGCTTCTGATATTCCTCAGTGCCAGTCCCCTTTCCTGTTCCACCTTTTCCAGAGGTGACTCAATGCAGAGATACAGCCAATCCCCCACACCATCTCTGGCCCTTTCCCTTTCTCTCTAATGCTCCTTCAGTTTGCCTAGTCTCTTCCACTGAACAAGAGAGTGGCAGATACTATCAGGCTTTTGGCACATTGGTGCCCAAAGTATGTCCCCCCCCAGGAGAGGCCAGGGGCAGCCCCTGAGCAAGCAGTGAAAAGCTCAGCCCAGATTTTAGCCAGCATCCTTCACTGAGCATTAATGCTTTGGCCTGTCTGTCTCACCTTACCAAATACCCTGTACAATATCCAGCTCCATACAGGAACATCCCAGCCCCCTTTCTCTGACCCCTTCTGGTAGGGCAGGCTGCTCCAAATTCTGTGCTGAAGTCATCATTGCCTGCTGTAGCTTGTTCATGGTGCACAGGGACAAACTATGAGGTCAGGACCGCGTTCCGCTCCAGCAGCCCCAGCAATCACTGAGAGCCACCCCGTCCCAATCGGGGAGCTGCGCTTGGGCAGCACAGATGGCACTTGGAAAAGCAGATGTCTTAACAGCCTTGAAAGGAAAGAGGTGGCTGGGTTAAGGGGGTGGATGGAAAGGAAGGTGGTGTTTATCCTTACTATGTGTCAAATACAAGAGGACCATGCAGAGAAGGTCTGCTTCCTGTCTACCTCCCACTTTGGCTATGCAACCTTGCCTCAGGCTGAAGGAAGGGCCAAGCCATTCATCAAGCCAAACTCATTGGTCACCTTGGGTCTCCAAGGTGGCTATGTACAAGAAATATGCAGACCCTACTACTCTTCCCCAATGGCTCCTGTCTACCCGCTATCACACTGGTTCTAAGACCCCAGAAGCCAGCCCAGTCTGTGGCATCCTCTACCCCTGCCCATGGCCCAGGACCTCATTTCATCTCAACCCAGTGCCATTAGTCCCTGCCACAGCAATGCCATAGGAGTGCTGGTCTCCAGCTCCACCACAGCCACCCCCTGCCCTTTAGGGAGCAGCTGCTCCCTGACATTGGCAATTCACAGGCAAGGGGAGGCCAGGGACGGGTGTTAGCACCATGCCCTGCCTCAACCATCTAGAGCCAAATGAACATAAATCAGATAGCGTTGGAGTCTAACAACACAAGGAAGCAACACTCTGTCCTTTCTGCTGGCCTGAAAGCTGCTGACAGTGGAGCTGGCTGTTTCCCTCCTTTGCTTCTCAGGCAACAGAGCAAGAAAATGCAGGGATGGAGGGTGGGCAGGGAGAGGAAGGGCAAGCAACTCTAGTCCAGAGGAGAGCCGAGGAAGGGACATGGGATCTGTTTTATAGGGCAAAATGAAAGGTCACCACCCCGATGCACTGGGCCTACCTGGCTGTAGGGTTCCACCACTCTTCAGTGTAACCAAAGATGGTTCTTACAATGTGCTTTTGGCTCCTAGCCATCCTCACGTATACAAGAGCATCAAGGAACAGTAGTGGCATTGTGCCCATCAATGGCTGTACCCTCCTTGGCTGGCACAAAGTCAACCCATCAGCTCCAAGCTACCAACAATTTCCCTCTGTTGTTTTCCCTGCTAATGGAGGCCTCAATTTTATTGGCATTTCTCGGCACCAGAGTGTTTGGAGAAGACCAGAAGGCCACACGGACAGTTCCCCTGTTCAGAGGAGAGAGCAGCGAGAGTGAAATGGAGGAGAGAGAGCCCCAAATCTAAGTCAGGAGCTGGATATCCTGATAGCAACAGACAACCCTTTGGCTCAGGGATCAGGGTGGCATACGGAGAGACACAGTCACTAGTTAGATGGCCAGGTATGAGGGCAGATTAAAATACAACCACTGAAAGTGTGGACAGGCATGATATAAGGAACAGAGACAACCTGGGGGGTCAGGGAGTGGAAGAACCATGACTGAGAGAGGCTACAAGGTCTAGGAGCCACGGTGTAAAAAGGCAACCAAAAAAGCCACATACAGCAGCAATTTGGGCCTGAAATTCTGATCTTGTCAACCTTGTTCTCCTCGGGCCCAGTGCACTGGAAAAGCCAGCACTTAATTCTACCATTGCTTAAACGGTGCTAAGAGCCTCCCATTAGAAATGTATGCATTAAAAAACTGCCAAACACTCTTGGCTCCTCTGGGAACACCCCGAAACCAGGCCAAAGCTCCTGCTGCTTTCTTACACATTGTGCTTCAGTTGGGCATCAGCCCTCTTCCCAGCTCAGTGCGCTGCCTGCTCCTGGAGGGCCTCAGGGCACAAACACCATCTCCAAGGGGCTCTGCCTCCACTCTCTTGGGTTCAAGGTCCTTCCAGGATTTCTCTAACCGCTTTCTGAAAAAAAGGGGCCTTTCCCAGGGGTGCTTGGTAGTGGGAGTTGATGCCTTGAAGGGACTCTCCACACCTACTGGATAGTTTCTGTAATACACACTGGTGTGAGCATCACTGCAGCTGCTTCAAATCACCACCCAGAGATGGTCCTTGCTTTTGCCCCTGGCTTTAGTGAAAGGACAGTGCCATGGGAGAAGCTCACAGCACAGATGTGGCCCTTACACAACAGCAGCCCCTTCCCTCTCAGCCCCACTGCTTCCAGGGATGCT